TTTCAGATAATTTGAATTTTATTGGGAATGCCCGTTCTTCGGTGGAAACTTTTCCGGAGACCCCCACGTATTCTCTATAGTTATTATTAGTTTTTAAGTTGCCGCTTACGCTGAAAATCGATTATATCTTCAAGAGTGTTTAAATTTTCCACTTGAAATTTTAAAGAAACAGTCTTGAAAAATAATGACTTCAAATTAAAAAAAAAAAATTAAAAATAATCACCTTCAATATAATATAGATATGGAATATAATATTGCTGGTCACCCAATGAAGGCTATAAAAGTACCTCCCAACTTTTGGTTTTGGGGTGTTTTTTGCACTTCTCAAACCAAATTGGCTGGGATTTTTTTTTATTTTGGAGGATTATAGGGTATATTGACCTAAGTTTTTGGTGTAGCCCACATATAATACCCCATATTAGTCGACATTTTTGGCGATTTTTGGTTTCTTAAAAGCCATTTACAGTCAGTCACTAGTCACATTTTCCTACCGATGTAACTTTATTTTACCATTACGAAGTGTCTTAAATTTCGCATTCAGGGACTTTGGTAAAACAACTTCTTCACAGTTAATGTTCAAAGGTCACGCCACATTTTCTGTATGTCCTAACGCAATTTTTCAACCTGAATGAATGTATTTTTATATTTCATATATATAGCGACTTTTCTATGTGTTTCTCTAAGATCACCCAAAATACATTCACGGAACAATTTCTTACTAAACATACAGGTTGTAAATGCATTGGTTGATGGTAAACCAGTAAGGACAATTTCATGTCAATGTTCCATCGAGGGAACTTGAATGAATTTAAATATGTGACGTTTATCTATAAGTGAACCGACTAACATCAATCCATACACATGCCTTTCTGCAACCTATGCTAAATTTCACTTCATTCGGGCAGATCTGGAGTCGTTTGCGTATAATGGGACAAATTTATGTAAATCGATTTAGATTACACTTGACATACAATATTCGGTATGCCGCCCTGTTCAAAATTTAATTTCATTCAGACACCCGTTCGAAAAATGTCTTCATATGCACAAATTTCAAAAAAAAAAAAAAAAAAAAAAACATAACGCCATTCTAGTCTCAATTTGGTTCGTTGTGCAAAATTTCGTGTCAATCGGACAAACATTAGGAGTTTGGTGTACCATTTACCTAAAATTGGACGAAAATATATATGTATAGGGGGCTTTGGTGCACCATTTACATAAAATCGGACGAAAATATATATGGGATGAAAAAATATGTACATATGTATATGGAAGCTATATCTAAATTTGAACCGATATTCACGAAACTTAACGCACATCATTCCTGTCTTATTTCAGTACGCTATGTTAAATTTCGTGCAAATCGTAAGATATTTAGGAACTTTGGTGAACCATTTACATTAAATCGGGCGAAAATGTATATGGGACCTATGTCTAAATCTGAACCGTTTTTCAGGAAACATAACACACATCATTCTAGTTTTAATTCAGTACATTCTGCCAAATTTCGTGCAAATCGAATGATATATAGGGGCTTTGGTGCACCATTTACATAAAATCGGAAGAAAATATATATGGGAGCTATATCTAAATCTGAACCGATTTTTTTTTTCCAATTTCAATAGTGTTCGTTGTTGTTCCAAATAAATGAGCTGTGCCAAATTTCATCCAATTCGGATAATAGATGCGACCTGTACTTTGTTTACAATTTAATATGGACAGACAGATGGACAGATAAATCGACTCAGAAAGTGATTCTATGCATATTCTCAAAAAGAACCATGTGTCTATCTCGTTTCCTTTTGCCTGTTACAAACATATGCACAACGACATAATAGCCTGTACTACAGTTTGGTGAGGGGTATAAAAATCCAACCTTATCATAAATGAATCCACCATCCCCACTAGAGCAAATCGCTAGAGTTGAGTTATTCCAATCTTTCACCTACATTTTTCCCGCTCATTGGTGGCATTCATAACCGTTTACCAATGAACGATTGAACTAAATGAATGACCTAGTTCCTTTTGTGGAACGATCGGGAAAATTTCAAACAACTTCAGGAACGAGATTGTTCAACTCTATCAATATCAAGGGCGTAGATTATCAGTTAGTAGTTCAGTTACCATGACGGAAATTTCAAACAACTAGGAAATATATTTTATTCTGGTTGTCATTCCTTGTATATCCTTATGTTTGAAAAGCCACCCTGACTTTCAATACCTTCTTATTTTTTTATTAATTTTTAATAACCACATTCCTTTTTTTCTTGTGCGTTACAGAGTGTGCCAACTTTTCACCGAAGTCATCATCGTTCTTCCTCAGCGGGTAGCCGAAATGGCCAACAAACATCTTCGTCCACGGGTCAGTTGAATAATGTCGCCGGTATATGCGCCACCAGTTTAGCCTATCAAAATATCCGAATACCACACACCTTTATGGTGCATACCTATGGTATACCCACGGTCTGTCAATATTGTAAGAAACTCCTCAAGGGCCTGTTCAAACAGGGTCTTCAATGCCGCGATTGCCAATATAATACCCATAAGAAATGTATGGATAAAGTGCCACAAGACTGTACCGGCGAAAGACAGCTGCAACCGAATGATTTCAATGAAACCTTTACCCCGACACATGGCACCGGACACAAGGATCGTGATAACTTCTTTCGCGAAGAATTCGATGATAGTGATTTTGATGAGCAAACCTCAAATGATCACATGCGTAGTGGAATGGCGCATAAAACGGGTGGACGACCCGGTTCGATGGGTGTGCGCACCACAACAAATGCTCAGAATTCACCACCCGAATTGGTCAATGGGTTGAAGAGCAGCGATAGTGAACACTCGACGTATCACAATGAAAATCGTAGTGCCGGTGAAGGACAATCTATCGATGGACAATCGGAACAATCAAGTTCATCATCATCGCCAAGTGCCAATATTCCGCTTATGCGTATTGTACAATCAGTGAAACACACCAAGAAACGTGGCGGCCAAGCTCTCAAGGAAGGTTGGCTGGTGCATTACACCAGTTTGGATTCAACAGTTAAACGTTATTTCTGGCGTTTGGATTCGAAGACCATAACTCTGTTCATTTCCGAGCAAGGCAGTAAATATCACAAAGAGATCCCGCTGGCTGAGATTCAGGCCATTGAAACGAATAATGATGTTCGGGTGGATAATAATTACTGCTTTGAATTGAAAACTCTTAATGTCAACTATTATGTGGGTCAAGATCCATTGGCGGGTGTGCGGGAGGAACAGGCTGTCCGTTTACCACCACCGGAGAGTGGTATTGGTACAGATATTGCCAAAAGTTGGGAGACCACAATTAAACAGGCCTATATGCATGTTACCAATACACGTAAGTGCGGAATTGAGGGGGTTTTTAAGAAGTTATTGAACGGCATTAATGATTTTTGTTTGTTATTTTAGAATGTTGTGAATCTGAGGAAAATGTCCAAGACATGGGTCAATTGTATCAAATCTTCCCCGACGAAGTATTGGGTTCCGGCCAATTTGGTGTGGTCTACGGTGGTGTCCACAAGAAAACGAAGCGGGAAGTTGCCATTAAAGTTATCGATAAACTACGGTTCCCAACGAAACAGGAAGCTCAGCTTAAGAATGAAGTTGCCATATTGCAGGTAAGAATTCTATAGAAAACTTTTTGCTCTCTTTTACTGAAGATGAGATTCTTCTTCGATGTAAGAAGAGATTTTTCTCTTTTATGTATAGAAGAGTTTTCTCTTCTATGTCTAGAAGAGAGTACCTTTTCTAGGTATAGAAGAGAGTATCTCTTCTATGTATAGAAGAGAGTATCTCTTCTAGGTATAAAAGAGTTTGCTCCTATATGTATAGAATAGTTGATCTTCTGTGTATAAAAGAGTTGCTCTCCTATGTAGCGATGAGTAGCTCTTCCATGTAGCGATGTTATACTCCTCTATGTAACGATGATTTCGTGATTTGCTCTTCTATGTAGCGATGAGTTCCAGATTTGCTCTTCCATGTAGCGATAAGTTGCTCTTCTATATAGCGATGAGTTGCTCTTCTATGTAAATATGAGTTTCTCTTCTATTTATAGAAGAGTTACTCTCTTCTATGTGTAGAATAGTTACTCTCTAGCGATGTTATACTCCTCTATGTAACGATGATTTCGGGATTTGCTCTTCTATGTAGCGATGAGTTCCAGATCTGCTCTTCCATGTAGCGATAAGTTTCTCTTCTATATAGCGATGAGTTGCTCTTCTATGTAAATATGAGTTTCTCTTCTAAGAAACGATGTTCTCTTTTATGTGCAGAAGAGTTGCTCTCTTCTATGCGCAGAAGGGTTGCTCTTTTCTATGCTAAAAGAGCTTCTTTGGATGTGGATGAGTTCTATATGGAGTTGTTCTCTTATATATGTAGAAGAAAGTCCTTCTTCTATGTGTAGGAGAGAGTTTCTCTACTATGCACTGAAGAGATTCCCTCTTCTATGTATAGAAAGGAGAAGAGAGTTTATCTCATATGCACTGAAGAGATTCCCTCTTCTACGTATAGAATGGAGACCGTTTTCTATGTGCAGGAGAGTATTCCTCCGCTATAGGTAGGTAAGAGTGTATCTTCTATATATAGAAGAGACATTCTCTCTATTCATAGTAGAGACATCAAACTCGTATATATATGTATATATATTTTTTCTATGTGTGTAAGAGAGAAGTACATCTTATACGTTGTATAAGAGATTTTTTCTTTAAGAGAAAAGAGTCTCTATTCATAACCCTCCTCTCCCCTCTCTCTATTGTATTTTACAGAACATTTCCCACTGTGGTGTTGTGAATCTCGAGCGTATGTTCGAAACTCCCGAACGTATTTTTGTCGTCATGGAAAAACTTAAGGGTGATATGTTGGAGATGATCCTGTCCCACGAACGTGGACGACTTAGTGAAAGAGTCACGAAATTTTTAATAACACAAATTTTAATTGCCCTCAAACATTTGCACAGTCAAAATGTGGTCCATTGTGATTTGAAACCTGAAAATGTTCTACTGTCATCCGATGCGGAATTTCCCCAAGTGAAATTGTGTGATTTTGGGTATGCTCGTATTATTGGAGAGAAATCTTTTCGTAGATCTGTTGTGGGTACACCGGCATATTTGGGTAAGTGGTTGCTGACATTTTTTATAGGCAAATTTTTATATTTTCTATTTGGTGTCCTATAGCTCCAGAGGTGTTACGCAATAAAGGTTACAATCGTTCTCTCGATATGTGGAGTGTGGGTGTTATCATTTATGTCAGCCTGAGTGGTACCTTCCCCTTTAACGAAGAAGAAGATATTAATGATCAGATACAAAATGCGGCATTTATGTATCCTCCTAATCCGTGGAAGGAAATTTCATCGAATGGTATGTGAATGAGATGTGAAATTCCGAACTTCTATAATCTGGTTTTGATTTTCTTTCCAGCCATTGATTTGATTAATAATTTGCTGCAAGTGAAACAACGAAAACGTTATACGGTGGATAAAAGTTTGCAACACTATTGGCTGCAGGATAAACAAACCTATCATGATCTACGCAATTTGGAGAGACAAGTCGGCACGAGATATCTAACCCATGAAGCTGATGATTTACGCTGGGCCAGCAGCACGGGTGATATGTGACCTGTTAATGGTCACACAGCATGTCCCACATTCCAATTAAATGATAAAATTCCCGAATCACCTGAACCGAAACAGCAGCAGCAGGAACAGAAACAGGAGCAGCATCAGGTCCAACCGAAAACTGTAAAAGAAGAGCAGCGACGCAAATCCTCGACTACGACGACACCAACACCCACTCTGCATATGGATTTGGATAATTGTAATTGCCGTAGTTTACCCTCGAATAAGCCAAAGGTGGAAGCCATTGGGGATAAGGCATTGAATTGGATGCGTAACCATTTGTGTCGTCACATCAAATAAATCCATGACTACGTTTTATTTTTACAACAACTCCGCCATGGCCAATAAAGTTTTTTTTTTTAATTTCAAATGGCTGCTATTCGTTACTAAAATTACTACTTTAAAATGACAACGATCAAATAATACGTGTACTAGGTCTACATTCCCAACATCAACTATATTTTCGAATTAAATTTTTTCCTATTCCTCTCTCTTAAATTGAATCCTCAATGTTTTTACTGAAAAACATGAACAAAAGGTACCTTAAATTTTACATAAATATTATATAGTATATCTATTTCTCTATAAATATATATACATTAAGACAGTGTGTGTATTATACACACCTATTATACATACATATATACAATATTGCCTATAATAAATATAAATATATAAATAAAATAATCATTTAATTAAGTTATAAGTGTTGTAATTTTTTTTTAAATAAAATTTGAAACGCTTTACAGAATTAAAAACAAAAAAAACTAAATATTGTGCTATGTTTCTTGGACCCCCACAATCTCTAATGCTAAACGAATAACAATTTATTAATGCAATTATACAAAAATTAAAAAAAAATAAACAAATGCACACATACATAAACATTTTATGAACAAAATATGTTAATGCTCTTCTGTAGTAAAATTAGTACGATAAGGAAATTAATAACGCGGATAATATTACTAAAAAAAGAGACCCAGCTCTCTTTAAAAAATCAAAATTATTAAAACAAATTATAAGAGTCATTTACGTTAATGCTCATGTCATATTTTTTCTTGAATAAAAACAGGATAACAATTATTTCAAAATTTAAAAAAAGTTTTTTTGTTTTATTTTTTATATCGGGAAATATTCTTTTATGGTCATAATCAGGACTTGCATTTTTTGAAGAATATTTTTTCAAGGCCTTAGACAAGACGTGGATTTATTAAAGAATATTTTTCAAGGGCCAACTGAGGCGTGGATTTATTAAAGAATATTTTTGCAAGACCCCAAGCAAGGCGTGGATTTATTAACCCTACGATCAACAACCAAAAAAGTATACGTAGATCAATAACCGTGGTACATTTGTACCCATCCAAAGATAGCTCTGTAACTCATTAAAAAAGTGGACTATCGTGAGGTTTTTTGTTTTAAATTACTCTATGCGGATTTGGTCTAGATGTAGGAACTCAAAATTATATATACATTAAAATAATATATATTTAAATCCATGCTTAAATGATAATCTATCTAATACAATCATAGTAAATTCGTTATAGCTTTCGAATGGGTTAAGCTTTTTTAGTTATTTTTTTATTGGGATCTTATTTATGTGTTCCTCAATTCCTCTGCAAATTTTTGTGGCCCTTGACAACATGGGGCCATCAGGGCGACTCGTGGAAGTCAGAAACTACCATGGTTTTCCCTTGGTATACAGGGACTAAAACAATTATTATTGCCAATTATTCGCATTTTATGAGTTTAGAGATTGTGATTGGCACATTTTTAACCCTATTTAATACTTTAAAACGTTATTTAATGATAGTTTATATATTTACGTCAATTTAGGATTGTAATAAATCAGACTAATTCGATTATAGAAAAAGTTTCAGGCCCAATATGAAGAATAATTGGATAATTATGGACAATAATCATTGTTTTTGGCCCTGTATACCAAGGGAAAACCAGGGTAGTTTCTGACTTCCACGAGTCGCCCTGATGGCCCGATGTTGTCTAGGGCCACAAAAATTTGCAGAGGGGTTGAGGAACACCTAAATAAGATCCCAATAAAAAATAACTAAAAAAGCTTAACCCATTCGAAAGCTATAACGAATTTACTATGATTGTATTAGATAGATTATCATTTAAGCATGGATTTAAATATATATTATTTTTTTTTCTAAACTTTATTTTTTATTTGCAATCTATTTACAATAAACATTCAGCAAATTTGATAAATTCTTAGATATAGACAGAGTAGTTAAATCCCAGTGGATTTAACAATATTATATAATTACAATTTTTAATTAATTTTAAACATTATGTAAGAAATGGGAGATCTAAAACATGCCTTCTTTTCAGTCTTCTGATTTCGTCTGAGTCATCCAATAAGCTGATTGCAAGGATGTTTGAGTGATGACTTAATCTGTCTAAATATAGAGAACTATAGTTTTTGATTTCATCTTTAATTTTATTAATTTTTAAATCTCTGTGGATGATGTTGTTATTAACGAACCAAGGAGCATCCGTAATCAATCTAAGCGTCTTTGATTGGTATCGCTGCAGAATCTCAATATTTGAATTACTTGTTGTTCCCCAGAGTTGAATACCATATGTCCAAATAGGTTTAAGTATGGTTTTATACAAAATTACTTTGTTCTCCAAACTCAGTTTTGATTTTGGGCGTAGAAGCCACATCATCTTTTTAGTTTTCAAATCCAATTGATGTCTCTTAGATGTTATATGTTTCTTCCAGTTAAGTTTTCTATCAAGGTGAAGTCCAAGATATTTAACACAATCCGCAGAAGGAATGTCAGTTCCATTTAGTGTTGGAGAAGGACAGTCTCCTCTTCTTAAGGTGAAGGTAACATGCACGGATTTTTCGGTATTAACTCCAATATTCCAGTTTTTGAACCATTTTTCAACCATGATAAGATGTGTTTGGAGTATATTTGTAGCTATGAAAGGGTCGTCATGTGTAGCTAGAATGGCCGTGTCGTCTGCATAAGTGGCAGTCGTAGTTGCGTCACATATAGGCATATCTGCTGTGAAAATTGTATATAATACTGGGCCTAATACACTTCCTTGTGGAACACCAGCTTTTATGCCACCAATATTGGATTCTTCACCGTTGACATGTACATAAAATGTTCTACCAGTTAGATACGAATTTAACAGCAAGTAAAATGGAGCAGGTAATAATCTTTTCAGTTTATATAATAAACCCTGATGCCACACTCTATCAAACGCCTGTTTAACATCCAGAAACACACCAGAACAAAATTGTTTGTTTTCCAAACAATCTCTTATAACTTTCACCAAACGATGACACTGTTCAGGTGTTCCATGTTTTTCTCTGAATCCAAACTGGTGATCAGGCATAACATTTAAATGATGAAGAATTGGAAACAGGCGTTTTCTATACAATTTCTCGAACAGTTTAGAGAAAATGGACAGTAAACTTATAGGCCTATATGATGCTAATATATTTTCAGGTTTACCAGGTTTAGGTATCATTATGATTTTAGCACATTTCCATTGTACTGGAAAATATGATAGTCTCAAAATTGAATTGAAAATTTGAGTGAGAAAGACCACACCCTTTTTGGGAAAAGATTTTATGACTTTGTGATCTATTGAGTCTGAACCCGGTGCTTTTTTCTTTAAAATTTTAATCTCATCACAAACTTCATTATACCTAAAGGGTTTAATAGGGCGACTCATTTGGCATGGAGCATTCAAAAAATCTGTGATCACCATGTTTTGTCCTGGATTACACAAATCAAAAGGTGAAAACGAATTCACTAGATGATCTTTAAAGGCTTCGGCTTTATCCTTATTAGACCTACACCAAGTTCCATTGGAATTTTTAATAGGCACATTTCTTTTTTGTGGTCTTTTAAGATATTTAGTTGCTCTCCATAAATTGTGATCATTATTTTCATTGGGGCTTAGATTGCTTAAGAAATGTTCAATAGATTTGTTATTATAATCACTTAGCAGGATTTTAAGACGATTTGAAGCTCTGTTTAAATTTGTTTTGTCCATTGGATGTCTTGAATTTTGCCAAATTTTACGCAAACGTCTCTTTTCTCTAACCATTGCTCGAATTTCAGCCGTAACGTAAAAATGTTTATGATTATTACCAACATTTTCTGGGGTGTATAAACTAGCAGCATCATGTATGACTTTTTCCAAATGATCTACTGCATTTTCCAATTCTTTACCGGTCTTTATCGATATATTTAGATTTAAGTTTTGTCCAATAAAATGTTGGAACATAGGAATGTCTGTTTTCGATGTGATCAACTTTTTTATTTTACGCTTACAAATATTGTTGGTCGTGTAGTTAGCAATAAGTGGACTGTGATCTGAATGTAAGTCATAATTTGAACTGATGCTTAGCGAAGATTGGCATAATCCTGAGATGACGAAGAAATCTATTAAGTCAGGAGTTTTAT